AAAACATAATTATTTCCATAACAATAATTAAATTACGAATTATGAGTATACCTAACTAACAATTGTTACCCGGTTTGAAAAATCGTATGTACTTCGTATATTTATAAGCTTGAAATAACTTAAATGTGGTCAAATGTTTAGTAAACTCTAAACGATCTTTAGTTGTATCAATTAAAATAGGTATAACTAATTGACAATTGTTTCGGGATTCATTTTCGTAAGAGTGGCTACCAAGATTATAGCAATGCTCGTTGAAACGTTTTCTATACCTAYTTATCTCGTTATTTTTAATTTGCACACATCCATTTTTTAAGCGGTTTTCAGTAAGTTGTTTTGTACCAAGTTTTGTACTTGCATAATTTCCTACATTACTTAACGCCAATTTTGCTTGGTCTGCAGCAACTTCCATTTTCATTTTTTTTTATGGATGCTTATTAGCACAGAGTTTTGAAAAGCGGTTATTCCACCCCTCTGTGTTATTGTTGGTGCGATGCCCACCTTTCAATGTTAATTCATGTACATTCCACGTAGGCGATGGAAATATAGGAGATATTTTACGCAAACGCAAGCACGAAGCAGTTCCTACTCGCCTATATGTACCACTTACATAATAATTATCAAAATAAAACGAAAGCTCTTCTGCATGGGGTGGTATATTTTTTTTCAWGCACGTCATTCCATCTATCACTTTATCCAGAGGCAGAAAAACTAAACCATCGATCAYACCACAATACTTTCGAAAGTCACTATATTCTTTTGTAAATGGTTGCCAAACCAAGTTTTTGTAATTTTCTATGAGTCGACTGACATAAATGATAAAAATACCCATTTATCGTAATGTGGTTTCCTAAAATATTTTTAGCGTCATWTATTACAGTGTTATGTACGTCTACACAACTAAATAATTGAAACCGCAGTGAGGTGGTTAATCACTATACTTTATTTGAACACTATGTTAAATACAAAAATACACGGATTTGTGGATGCTCTGGAGGCTTTGCTGGCTTGTCAACAACTGCCTCGTCTTGGGGCCGAGCGTGGTCGGGCAGGTCCGCTGTGGCTCAAAACTATCCACGCAGCGGAATGCCATATAATACGGCAGACCGTGCTCGTTCCCACGGCGGATATATGATGGTTACATAAATATATATATATATATATATGTCAAAGAAATGCTTATGTTACAAATACTTCTATCCTTATATTACTAAATGAAATGGGTTTATAACAACAGCTAATTCAAAATCCAAGTATAAGTATCTTGGAGCTGGGTACATATCGCGGGTTTTACATTAATTTATTAAAATATTCAACATTTCCTCGTATGTAGCTTTAGTTTTGCGCTCAAGAATACAATAAACAGCTGTAATAAACAATGATTTTTTTTTTGTACACGTATCACATATAATTKTTTAAAAAATTCAGGAGCAAGGCCAAAGTTTCCATCGCTAAACCGCATGTATCCGACTCGGATAATAAGGACAATCCTATATCAGTGGCAAACATAATAATCCTTTCACTGTAGGTATTTGGGCCGTTATCGTAGGGTAAGAATCTTTCTTGACCATATTCTTTATATTCACCTATTAAATTTTAAATTAAATAAGTATACCAATATGTTTTAAAAATCGCAATTTATATTTTAATAATGTATGAGTGAGTAACATTGTTACAGATAGAAATTGTACCCAAAAAATTGTTACCTAGGTACATTTTTTATAGGTTTGTTACTCGTGATACAACATACAAATTAAATATATTAGACCTCTTATCTATTGTACGTTGACTTTTACAATATTGTTATTTTTAACCGAGATGTGAGTATGTAAGATATTGAAATTTAAAAATACTCATATTATCACGTCATATAATATACAATTTTAATTTACCTTCAACAATTACTTCTGACAGACATCTCGGTTTTGGTGGATTTTTATACCCTCTATGATTTCAAATAGTTATTTTTAAATTATCTTCCATTGGAAATTCAGCTAATACACTCTCCGGAACATTTAATATTGCACTTGAAAAAATTTGACTAGGTGCGTCGTTAGTTAATTTGGCTTTTTCCTTCATAATGTTTTGAATTTTTTACTGCAGAAACCATATTTTCATTTGCCTCGTGTAGCTCGTGATCGTGTTCAATGGAAATTAAAATTGGAC